TTTTTTATACCCAATCCAAATTCAGTCAGAAAAACTCCCCCATTTCCCCCAAGTTTTCCCAACACTCCCCCCCCCCCCTACACACACATACAATTTGTCCTCCTAAATTTATCTGGTGTCCTGGGGCAACCGTGACAATGGTAACAGAGAAGACTCATCAAGGGTCTTGGGGTGAGATCTCCCTCAGTCACTGGAACCTAGAACATTTTGATGTGAGCTTGAGAATGCTTACAGTGGATGTCTAGCACCGTGGAAATCATGTGTTTCAGGACTCATTGTCATAACCCAGGCCGCTAAATGAGCTGTTACTGTCAGCCCCACTAGACAGACCAGGCCAGGAAATCAATTCCACATGAAGGCTAAAACTGCTTTTATTGAGACTGGCTAGAATAACAGAACCTTATGAATGTGATTGTGCCACCCCTTCCCTTCTTCTTATCGTTCAGTGAATTAGGGAGGCATCTGCCTGAGCTGCTCCCAAATGCTATCTCATTGTTTTGGACTTTAAAAATGTTTCAGCCCTTTTCACCATGCAACGATTCTTGCATATTTCTATCAAGGTCATCTTCATAACTCTCTAGTTACATTCCAGATGCCAAGGAACCATTTATTAAAGCACAGTTTCTATTTTTATTTCTAAGAAGGGGGTTTTATTGTATTTAGACTATATTTGGTATCAATACTATTAAAGCAGATCACTCCTGCCTTACTATGTGTCGTTCAAGCCCTCACATATCTCCCATATACAACGCCTCAGAACAATCAGGCAGGAGAGTTCATAAAGACTTCGAATGCAAGCACATCTATGGGGGAATGACTCACAGGTTCTTCCTTTGGGCTAAAGAGAACAAAAACATTGGCTTTTTAGAATCCTGGCCTCCAGATAGGAGGAATGAGAAGAGCTATACTGAGCAAAAACAGGAAGAAATTTCCCAGCCCCAGCTTACCTTTTGATTTGGTGAGAGAGAGATTCAGGGAGATGTGAGTGGAATCAGCTAAATGGATTGGTTCTTAGAGGAAGAGACAGCAGTCCCAGAAGGGGGCAGTTGGAACAGCACCCAGGGGCATTGGTAAGGGAAAGGTAGAATTCTAGAGGAGAGGCAGGAGGTCCATGTGGTCCTAGTCCATGGGGTGGGGAACCAAAGGTTTCCCAGTTGGTTTCTCTGGACAATGGGGATGAGAGGGAACTCAAATGGGGACTTGTCAGCCCAAGTGTGATCCAAGAGTGTGGCTGAATTGCTCCTAAGTCTCTAATAAACACCTGGAAATCTGAAAGAAACAGGGCTTGACCAAGTAAATGCTAAATCACAAAGTAACTGATCAGTAAGCTAGACCTCTTCATCAGGAGCTATGCTTTGTTTTCTGGGGGCTGTGTTTGCTTGATTCTGGCAATTGTCCCTAGTAATTTTTGTAACTTTGTCCAAATCCCATTCTTTAAAGTTTTGCACCCTCCTCAGTTTTTTGAGCCTCAGATCTCACCTATTTAGACCTGTGTCCCAGTCTCCATACAGCATTGTAGGGGAGAAAGATGGCTGAAGAACTATTTGTGATCTTATGAGTGCCAAATGTCTTAATCCATTCAGTTGTAATTATTCTGGAGAAGTTTCACTCTTCCTTAAATTGATTTTTTAAATCATAGACTGTATTTCTCTTTCACCTCCTCAGAAGGAGACAGAATTGCTGTTCTTTGGCTGTATACCCCAAAGCCACTAGGACCTGGGTAATGTTTATTTTATTTTATTTTTTTTATGGATGCTTATCATTTGCTTCTCTTTCATTGTTCTGGTTTTTATTAGGTACAGTACTTAGAGTCATTTGGAGTTGGGTGTTTTTTTTTTCAATCTAAATAAATAAATACATACATAATAAAAAGCATGCTCAGGCTGCAAGAGGCTCATATCTTTCTCAAGCCAGTCTTAAAGGGGAGGAACCAGGGCAAGGCATCTCCTTCCTTTACAAAAGTGGATGGTGGCAACAGGAAGTACTTCACAGATCATAAACAGAATGCTTCAAGCATGGTGGGATGAGGGGACCTGAAGGGTATGGTCAGGAGGGTTAAAGCCACTCCCACCACTTGGCCATAGAGCCCTTTCAAACAAATTCATTACTGTTGAAAATGAAGAAATAAGGGATGATAAACTTGCCATGAAGTACCTATTTCTATACATGAACAGATTTGGTGGTTTGTTGATATTATTATCATTTAGCCATTTCTCTTTCATTGCCTCTTTAACAGTAGGTCGCTTCCCTGGATCAGGTTCAAGCAAAGAGTGCATGAAATGAACAGCTCCTGTGGAGGAATTAAAAAAAAAAACAGAGTTATAACAAATTATCTTGGTGGTGTCGGTATTTTGAAGCACCCTACAGAGTCCATAAACAACAGTGGGAAGGATTAAAGAAACTCTGCTTCTGACGACAACATCATCATGGAACAAAAAGTCACCCTAGTCCAAATTTCTGACATCAGAGAAGTAGGATCACTGTTCAGTTTAAGATTCTGAAGGAAAAGCTCTTCACTTCTGTGATATTCCTTTAATAGACCTATTCTTCTAATAGGCTTATGTACACATACAAAAAGGTACTTTCTTACTAATACCCAAATAAATGATCTTTTGTCTACTCATCCTTCCAGAAATCCCAGAGCCAATCTTCAACATTATCATGGAGAAATGATCCAGTTCAACTGCTGAGAAGTCATCACATTTTATTCTTCCCCTAAACTTAGGCAAGACGCAAACATTATAAAAAAGTTGATATTTTAGAAAAGAAAGGAAAAGAATGGACTCAATTCAAATCTATTTTCCTAGGCCTTAGGCCACTTCCACTAAAATATCTGATTATTTTGTTATTTATTGATTTGTGATTTATGCGATGAATCTCTACTAAACGTAGCTCTGCAGCTATGCTTTGCATGAAGAAGGCTCAAGAAAAAAAACCTGTAGAACTTTGCTGATCAGTGCAAAATAAAAGAAGTTTTCAATATTCAATGTTCTTACTATGGACACATGCTCTATTGGTGTTGGGTTTAACAAAGCAGATGCAGCCTGAATCCTTTTATTTTAATTTAAAATTGATGCTTTTTAAAAACAAATCATTTCAAATTCAACTGAGATAATCTTATGTGTTACAGTCCTTTTTTTTTTTTGGTGTCTTTGAATCAGGTTTTTGACTCCTGACAACTGCTTGGACAAGTCCATGCAATTTTCTTGGCATGATTTCAGAAGTAGTTTGCCCTTGCCTCATTCCTAGGGCTAAGAGAGAGTGACTGGCCCAAGGTCATCCAGCTGGCTTCATGCCTAAAGTGGGACTAGTCTCATAGTCTCCTGGTTTCTAGCCTGCTGCCTTAACCACTACACCAAACTGGCTGTCTTTTTGTAGCTATTTCTGAAAATTAAATATACAATTACTCAGGGCTAACAAAATACATTTGCCTTTACTAAGTGAACTTTAAATGGTTGCATAAAAGGAAGTGTAGCTTGTATTAAGCTGAGAATGAAGTTGTTGAATTTCCTCTGCATCTGGCAGGTACTGTAATCATGTCTTTCTGCTTTTACTAACATGTGGAATCCATCAGCCATTTCATATTTTTAGGAACCCGTCAATTAAAACAAGTTCATATTTCTATGTTTAGCTGTAAAGGTTGAATGAACTAATGTTTAAATCTGTGTTGAAATTGGTCTTCCACTTTTCAGTTTTGTTTGCCAGTGAGAACTTCTTTAGAAATTATTTTTGAGTTTGCTTTACTGGTGCCAGCGAGGTGATGGGTCTGCTAGTTCTTGTTCTCTGTTACCTATTTCTCCATCACTCTGCAATTTTCCTGCTCACACCCTGATATGAAAAGATCCCTTGTGGTAAGTTTTGCCCTGCTTTCCCTTGAACCCTTGAGGTTGAAGCCAGGGAGACCCAGAGACATATTGAATAATGAAATAATGGCTACCCCAGCCACTGCATAATTAAGGTGACCCAAGAACCCTGATTGTAAAAACAGACAGACAAACAAAACTGCTGGAGGACAGCACTCAATATTTCAACATTATTCTATTTGACCTGAGCTACATTAAAATATAATAGACAGAAGCAGATGCATAAAGGTGCCTGGCCATATAACGTCATTATTTTTAACTAGAAAAAGGTGACCTAACGACATGTTGGACTAGCCAGACTGAGAGATATTTAGGGTTGTTGTGAACATAAGCCAACCCAGAAGAGATTCACCAGCTATTTCCACTGAAGAAACTGGACCACCAGTGTCAACTAGTGCTTAAAATATTGTCCTTGCACTATGGAGGCCAGCAGGATGCATGTTTAAGTCCCCACTCAGTCACAGAATTCACTGATGACTTTGAATTCATCGCTCTGGGCTGTTGTTATGTGGGTAGAAAGGCCTCTGTGTAGGTTGTCCATTGCTCTCAGAGAAAGGGCAGGATAGAAATTCAATCAGTCAGTCAGTCAGTCACTGTCCTGAAGGAAGACTGTGCCTAAATGGCTGCTCTTGTTATGTTACATAGAAATTGCAACAATATAAGCCTGTTTTAACTTGGTGTTCTCCAGAAGTACTTGGATTACAACTTCCAGAATTCCCAACCAGACTGGCCAATGGCCATGCTGGTTATAATCTAAAAAAAAAACAACAGATTTTACATTTGTCATATTTTATGTTAAATATAAAATAAGCCATTCCTTACCAGAGGAAATGTTGGAAGAGATGGGATTCATTTCTCCATTAACCATCTTGAGATGAAGTTGCTTGATGTTAAATGGCTCCACAGTGAAGGGCAGAGTGCCATTTAGCATGGCAAATGTGCTGATTCCTCTGTCCAGGAGGAAGACAACACAGAATGGCTATGAAGGTGACTTAATTCATTGCCCCCTCCCTTTGTGTATCAAACCTGCTCATCACGGGGGCTTCCCATACCAAGCAAAAATGGGTGAGTTATTTCCTACAACAAGCAATGTTGTATATTCCTGCTTTTAAATACTGTAACCATCTATTACACACATCAACAGAACATGAAAAGCAAAATGCAAACCTAGAAACAAATGTTATAAAAGACAGCTTCTGAAACGTTCAACCCTTTCTCTAAACATAGTATCTATATAGCACATACAATGCTTCAATAAGTCACTCAATATTAATATTTACAGGTCACTAATAAAATGTTAGTCAGACTCAGCCATCAGGAAAGCACCAGGCTGGGGAAGACTGGACTAATCCATAACCAAAACATGCCATAATCTTCATTACGCAAATAGCCATTCAGGCTTGACCTTATATGGAGAGACATGACAATGCTTCTTTCTTCTTTTGCAGAGCCACTAAAGTCACCAACCCAACATAGAACACAAATGACTGGAGCAGGAAGGAGACTGAGATAGACACACCAGCAGAAAATTTAAAGCCACTTTTTCCCTATGCAAGGTAGATATGAAACTTAGGACTGCATTGTAATAGAAGTAACTCACTGTATTGCAACTATGAGAAACAGAAGAAGAATCCTAGGTATGTTGAATAATGGATTCAATTAGATGTATGCCACTTTCCTACCTAACTGAACCCTGATATTAAATTAGCAGTGAAAAATATAACAATTTAAACATGTCACATAAATGACCAGAATAACAATGCCAGCAATCTTGTACATAATGGGCACAAAATCTCAGTATAATTAAGCAATCATATAAAACAATGGTACAAATAAACTCAATGCATTTCCCCTCCTATATATTTACATAGAAGTAAATCTTCCTGCATTCAGTACGGTAAAAATGGTACTCAGGAAAGCCATCTGAATGAGCAAATCCCCCAATGCAGAGATAAAGTCAGATTCTCATCTTATACAGTAGGCTGTTTGGAAAGAGGTAGTGGAGAGCAGCGTATCAATTCTTAGTTATTGGTGTGACAGTGAACAATAGATATATACATAATTGTGTTTGGTTTTGGAATGAACATTGCCAATGGAACATATTCCTCTGCAGCTCCACGTGTACTCCAACATTACTATGGATTGTTGAGGGTCCATCTGGAAATGATACAGGTGGATATCTGTAGGATCAGAAATCCCATTCCCTACTTAGGATTGGTTTGTATTTGTTAGCTCATATTTATACCTAATAAATGCATCCCTAAGGATCAGAAGAACCAAAAACATTCATTGTGAGGTGAAGTATGTGAGGTACTTTGTTATGTAAGTAGTAAATGCATTTCTCTGTTTTTAAAGAAGGGAAGGGAAGGAAAGGGAAGGAAAGGAAAGGAAAGGAAAGGAAAGGAAAGGAAAGGAAAGGAAAGGAAAGGAAAGGAAAGGAAAGGAAAGGAAAGGAAAGGAAAGGGCCTTTTCTCCCTCATAACTGTTAGTACTGTAGGTCCTAACAGTAGGTTCCTTCCCTTCCAAGATTTTCCAAAATTTTGTCTGTTCTCCATTCCTTCATGAAAAATAAAACTTTGGTATGGTGTTGGGTGTGATGGTATTGATCCTTCCAGGATATTCCACTTTTTTGATTCTGTGTCTACAGTGTAATCTTTGTAGAAGTTCTGGCTAAATTATACATTTTATCAACTTCAATATTCATTACAGTGCTGTATTACTTATTTCTACAATAGCTTGTTTGAGGTCTTTATACATTTTTTGAAATGACTTCATGATCTCTTTGTTGGCAAGGATTATCAAGAGTTCTTTGGATCCCCAAGGGAAAGACACTGACATCTTACTGATTTGCACTAACCTCTCTCATTAAATAGAAACAACGGGTAGGAAAGTTGTTTCTGTAGTCAGAGTTTGGCCTATTTTACAACAGCGTGTTGGAGTAGCATTTTTATTTCCTTTGTATTTTATGATCCTAGCTCATCATCTTGCTCTGGGTAAACCAGACTTTTAGGTGATATGACAGAGAGAAAACTGCTCCCAGTATGCATAGTCATCCCACTGGCATTGCCAGTCAGAAAGGTTTTTCAAAGGTTTGATCAGATATAATGGGTGTAAAAAGAAAAGAAAAATAACACCACGCCTGCTGACTACAGCAGTGATGATTCTTATCATGGGTTCTTCAGTTCTCTGAAAGAACTTACCATGTGTTTCTAGACTGTTCCCTTGATTCTCTGGTTGGGGTGCTAGACTTGGGCCACAGAACAATTCCCCAAGAAGCACAGGAAGTCTTGCATTCGCAATTCCATCTGTACAGGATCTTCTACAAAACTGTATTTCTTTGCACCCATTCAAGGCCACTCTGAATGGTCTCAACAGCTTTAGATAATGTGCTACAATAAAAAGGGAGACTCAGAAGCTCTGATCTGTGCCCAGAAGCTTTCCATGCATTTCAATCTCTCATCAGCCACAGATTTTTAAAAATGCCTTTGGGCTCATCATGACTATATGTAGTAGCTGGATAGCATAGTGGTTAGAGCGCTGCCCTTTGATGCGGGAGACCAGGGTTCAAATCCCAGCTGGTACCTATCTTACCAGTAGGGTTCCTTGAGCAAAGACCCCCTAATGCTTCACCTGCCTACCTTGGATATGAGAGTGACACGAACTAAGAGAGTCATGTCAGCTTGGACATTGCCCAGATTAACAAGGTCTGCACCAGAAGCTGGGGAACCAGGACAATCTGATGATATGTGGGCTACTGGAACAAACCATACATAAATAAAACAAGAGAACCTGGAATTTATGGAATGCTACTACAACAGTAGACATAATGAGAGGGGATATATGAAATGTATGAGGGAACCATGGAGACCTACATCCACATTAACTGAGAAACAGCTAGTTACCCAATGCTTCAACATAGTAAAGAAGAAGCTGCTCTCACTGCTTGAGAAAGACCAACTACACATTACATTCTGGACTCAGGAAGACCTAGAAGAACAACTGGATGTGCAGCCAACACCTGAAGCTGGAATGTCACTGCCACCCTCTCTATTATAGGTCACAGCAGCTGATATGAGGCATAAGATCATGGATAAACTAGCTACAGTCAACCCTCAGAACCAATTATCAAGCCTCAGTGGAGAAGTACCATCAGATAGTATGCTTCAAGATGCTAATAGAGCCCTCACAACACCCTACTACCACCATAACTCAAACAAATGAACTGGTATACGCTACAACTGCTGTAATCCTGGAGATGCTTGGCTACATGATCAAGAAGAACAGCAGTATATACCCACCCCCTGGAAAATGAGGTTGGAGGCTAAGTTCAAGGCAACTTGGAGAGAAGTTAGTCAGCTGGTAGAACTACAGAAGGGTGTAGAGATTAAGGGTAAGATTCAGCTACTGAAAAAAATGCAAGGACCTGACTCCATCTGAAGCTCTAGAGACTGCTAAATAAAGGATCACAGCACTGGCTAACCAGGCTAAGGATATACAATGGAGAAGCAGAGACCAAGAAGATAAATGCCCTGTTCTTCAAAGAACCATCCAAGGTGTACTCCCAGCTGGAGTGCAACAACACAGTAACAGCAGAGCCACCAATAGCAAAAACTGAACAGTACTGGAAGAACATATGGGAGAAAGAAAAGACACATAACACCAATGCTGTGGCAGGCTGTAAGATGCAGGCAGGAACAGCATACACTGAACAGCACAACTAAGTGAATGAGACATCGACTTGCTGATCCACCTGACACAGATCTACAGTGAGGACATTGGGATGTCATTTGGACCAGAGAAGTGTGGCTGGATGGTAGTGTATGATGTACAGTGATAGTGTACAGTGTATGGGCTAGACCCTCCCAAGTCCAGATGGGAGATTCCACAGAAGGTCGTGGAGAATAACAGGGCTAAGATCCCGTGGGGCTTCCAGATCCAGATGGACAGGCAGGGACTGGCCAATCAACCAGACATCGTGGTAGTAGACAAGGACCAGAAGACAGTGGTGGTGATAGATGTAGCAATGCCGAGTGACAGCAACATCAGGAAGAAGGAGTATGAGGAGCTGGAGCAGTACCAGGGCCTGAAGGAGGAACTAGAGAGGATGTGGAAAGTCAAGGCCAAAGTGGTCCCAGTGGTGGTAGGAGCACTCAGGGCTGTGACTCCTAAGCTGGGATCCCAGGAACAACATCAGAGCTCTCTGTCCAGAAAAGTGCAGTGCTGGGAACAGCTAAGATACCCCTCAAAGGCTTCTGGTAGAGGACCCTAGACTGAGGAAGATATCTACCATCCATAGGGGTGAAAGAGGATTTTTATATAAAATACAAATGAAAATTATTTTACAGATTTATGATGAGGGATAA